ATAATTTAACTTCATTAACCGTGAAGAGATTAATTGAAAAATTCAGGAAGACTGAATCAATTAGTGATCTTAAACATTCTGGCCGTCCTTCAACAAGTCATTCAACACAAAACATCGAAGCAGATCGTCAGAGTGTTGCTGAGAGTCCAGGAATGTTAGTTCGGCACCGTAGTCAAAATTGGATATTTAGAGAAGCTCACTACAGCGTATTCTAATCAAAGATTTGTATCTTCATACTTACAAAGTTCAGTTAACTCAAGAGCTAAAGCCTACTGACCACCCAAAGCAAACATAGTTCCTTGAATGGATTATGGAACAACGACCAGTGAGTGCTGATTTTCCGATGAAAGTCGTCTTCAGCGATGAGGCTCATTTTTATCTTAATGGCTTCATTAATCGACAAATTGTTGCATTTGGGGTGTAATAGTTAATGGTGCTCGCCGTTGAACTTTTTTCTTTGTTTTTTTTTTTTTGAAGTCAAAAATTCATGTCAAGAAGCCTACGACCACCCTCGTCTTGAAGGAAGAAATTGAACGCTCTATCAGGGAAATCCAGCTGCATTTATGCAAAGCGGTCATAAAAATTTTGACAAAAGATTCCATTCATAACCCTATACTGTATACCTTCTGAATCAATAAACAAATTACAATTTTTAACTAAAAATCTGTGTTTTCTATCAAAATTACTTCTTGCTTGAATTTTGGGATACCCTTTAGCCATTATCCAAGTTTGAAGTCTATTTCTCCAATAGTTCTTGAGTTACTGATTGGGTTTATGATAAAAATTGGTGCATAATTAGTATTACGGTATTCAAGGTACATGTAACAAAAAAATTGTTATAATAATTTTTCTTTACATTATTTTCGTACAGTTCAAATTGCACTTTTGCTTCTTACGCCTCTTTGTGTTATCAACGATTAATTACAACAAAGCATTCGCCATTTTTATAACTAATTTCAAGAGTTATTTTTCAGTTTTAAGAATTTTCATTGTAGATAATGTTTATTGTTACCTAATACATTCTACTTAAAAAAAATTGTTAAAAAAATCGTCTCCAAGTTTGTGAAAATCCTGTATTGTTTAAATGAAGGACATTAGTTCTGTATGTTTGTTGTTACTATACCGTTTATATCGACATATAAATGCAGCTTATTTTCTATAGTTATTAGAAATAAAGAAAATCTTATTTAAAAATTTCAAGATATGAACGAAAACCTAAATATATTCAGAGATCAAGCCTTTTAAATGTAAATACATCGAAGTTCAAGTTGACGAATCTGGGAAAAGAGCACTCAATTTATCAAAAACAAATAGTAACACGGGAAATCCAAATTGAGTCGAGGAAGTAGAGCACTTCATTATAAAAATAAACACTGAAATTCTTTAGGTAGATAGCTAGATTAATACAAAGATGTAGTTCAATACGAAGTTTTCATTTCTGTATTTTTTCCAAAAAATAACGTATACAGGGTGGTCTTCGAGGGCAGATAGATCTCTTTAAAATAATATGTGTTTGCCTTATAAACATTGGTCTGGAACAGCCCCGTTTTAGAGATACAGAGTGTTGAAGTTGTTAAAAAACATTAATTTTTTGTTTATATCTCCGAAATTTATTACCCGATCTCAATAAAATTTGGTATAGATAATCTATAACAGTAGGTCTTACATTCCTTAAAATACGAGCTTTAAAGATTCAACCAGTGGTGTATAATTGGACAGGGGTCACCACTTTTTTTACAAAATAACCTACGCCACTGATTTTTTTACAAGTCAGTGTAACTGATTTGTATTCTAATGCACAAAATACAAAAAAAGGTAACTTGATTTTTTTCCCTAAGATTCGCTGTTCTCAAGTTATTCATACGAATAAAATCCCCTTGTGGCAGACAATTCTAACCATAATATGACAAGAATATTTGTTTATGCTTAAAAGTGAGTGCAATTTGTAAGCACATCAACAAAATTATATACACTCCTTTTTACACCACCTGTGAGGTAGTGTTCCTGGCGTGTTTTAGTTTTCCCTAGGGGCCTAATACTCTTTACAAATAAGAACAATTCATATAAAAATAATAATAAAAATATATTTACCAAGCAACAGCAACTAAACAAGAAACAAAATTAACGCTACGTATTTACATAAATTGTTCAAAATGCGAACCACCCACATCGATACATTTCTGACATCTTCTATTAATGGAATTAATTGAAGTTAATATCATGTGGTGGTTTTCTTTTAATTCATTACATCCGTCTTCTATTCGTTGCAGTAGTTGTGGTCATGTATCTGTTGGAGTTGAATAAACTTTACTTTTCAGATAACCCCAAACATAGAAGTCCGGGGGGTTTAGATATGGCAATCTGGCTGGCCAAGACACTGGACCCTCTGCACCATTATAGTTAACATTGGCATTTGCTCTTCTACCTATCCATCGCCCCATATAATTTTCATTAAGCCATTCTTATATTATTCTCCCAGAATGCACAGGAGCACCATCCATTGTATCCAGCAATTTTGTTGTATATTTAATGGAACATCCTCTAATAATTTAATGCACGTATTTTGTGCATTAGAATATAAATCCGTCACAATAACTAAAAAAATGCAGTGGCGTAGGTTTTTTTTATAAAAAAAGGAGAGGACCCCTGCCCAGTTGTACACCACTGGTTGTACCTGTAGAGCTCATATTTTAGGGAATGTAAGGCCTACTGTCATAGATTATCTGTACCAAATTTTATTGCGATCGGGTAATAGAGTTCGGAGATATAAGATATAATCAATTTTTTTTAACAACTTCAACACCCTACCCTGTTTCTAAAACGGGACTGTTCCAGACCAATGTTTATAAGGCAAACTCATATTATTTTCAAGAGATCTCGAAGTTTCCTGTATAAAATTCGGACCACCCTATATATTCGGTGCCTACAAACAATAAACCTCAGCTTTCATGACATACTACATATCACATTAAATCTAAAATATGTGTAATAAAAATTAAAATACTAAGTTTGAAAATATTTCCGAGAACAATGGTATTTCAAGCACAAAAATATTTTTAATGGTAAATCTTATTTTAGAAGTTTAACAAGGAAGGTGTACATAAATGAAAAGGAAATTTAAGAGACAACTTTTTGCGATAATTAATAATATACCATTATTATCAATCCATAAAACAAAGCACTAGTAATAAATCTCTGTCAGAAATAAAATAAACATGATCATTTTTTATCAATGCAGGTAGCTTATTATAGACACGATGATATGAACTAGCACGAAAGAAGACAGAAAATTATATAGTCAAATAAAACCAGTTTGTCATTACTTATATTTGATTACTACGAATGTTGTAAATTCCGCTTTACTAAATTATTATTTCCAGCAGAAAAAATGGAAACAATGGAAATTATTGCAAAAATGTTTTTGATTTATTTAGGAATGCAAATATAACTCAATAATATAACAATAAAACAACGTAACGATCTCGGATACTATCATGAAAATATTTTTTAATTACGTGAATCATAAATACTGAATTTTGACAACAAAATGAAAACGTATAATGAATATGTATGGAAAGGAAAATTGAAAACTATTATAATTCCACAAAAAATATTTTACACCCTACTAACCTATTTTCGTACTTTTTATGTAGGTGTTAACATAATGGTGCCGCACTGTTGTACCTTTCAGTAATTGATTTCTATGCCTTTATTATTAAATTCTAGGAAGGTATATCGTGTAAAACACAAATCAATATTCATTAAATTTAATTTTAAGCCCTCAAATATGAAATGTCAGGATTTGATATTATTGGCTACCAGATGGTTTGAAAACATTCGATTAAAATTTATTACAGTGTGCAAACTAGAAAAGGATTTTTTAACGGTAAGTTAATTAATGCTTTAAGCATTTCCAATTGTCAAAACCATTAAAGCTAAAAAACGGTGTTAAAAATTGAGAATGACCGAAATTATTAAAACTTGTTGAGAACTTCTGGAATCGTTCCATAGATAAAAAAGGTAAATAATTGTAGATTTTTTGTTTTTTTTATAGTAAACAGAAAAACTGCTCGTTCAGTTTTAGGTTATTATCAATTCAATTTTACTTTAGTTTTCATTGCTGAAACGTCTTTTATTGTGAAAGTTGCAAAGAAAATAAGTATTAATTAATTTACTTTTAACTGTATATTCTTTTTGAGAAAAGACGTTTGTGCTCACAATGAATAGTAAACTATAGGACCGCTGATGAAAACTGTGAATTAACTGCAAATCTGTACGATATGTATAAACACTTGTAAACAGAACTAGCCGAACTATCGACGACATCAGCGGTTCCAAAAATGTTTCTCGTATTAAGTCATCAATTAATACATTTCTTTGGGTGGTAAATACCTATACCTCACTATTTCACCCCATTTTAGGGGATATTTTAACGTTTTACTAAGAAATGTCCTGTCAGATCGGTTTTTGGGCTGTGTATTCGGATTAATCATAAAAAAATACACAAGATCTATGTACCTACTCATGTCTGTGGTACAGAACATTTTTTTGTGAGGTTATGTTATTTTGTATGAAAGATACAATAATTTAATACGTATAAATGCATAATTTTACTTAATTTAACATTTAGTTCACTTAATTAAATCTTGACTGAAGAACGGGTTTATTAATTCAAGGTTATGTTATACCAAATCAAGTATACCAAATAAATTTATCTTTGATACGAAGTAATCATTTTTTCCTGTGTAATATTCTTTTTGTAAATTATTTATGTCAAAACAAAAGCATGTTTATTAGAGTGAATATCCTAAGAAAGTACGTATGTATGTATATCAGAATTATTGAAAAAAAAAATTCTTTTAAGACATACATATTTTAATCTAGATACGTTTTATTCCAGGGAATGAATTTAATAAAAAAAATAATTCATATTCTCACAGATTTCCTATGTAAATCACTTGAGATACATAACAAAGAAATAAATATGAAATATGACTCACCCGTTCGCACAAGTTTGAATGTAACAGCATTGTGTGTCTTCAGATGTTCGTTGTAAGCTGGATGTATAAGGTCCCTTAAGGGCGATTCATTTCCTGCCATTTTGGCTTCTATCTCCTGCGCCCTTTTTGTTCTTGGGTTGCTGAAGAACGCCCTTTTCTTTGTGGGTGACGACTTTTCTAAGAAATATTAATTATATGTAAACAATTACGGACGAGATTTTGGTATAATTTTTTTTTTATAAAGTACAGCTCATCAAACTTAGGAACAAATTTAGAAATCTCCATATATGAACTAGCTATATAAGAACTGAACAATGGTAAACGAATCACTGACAGATTATATACAGTAAATTTTTAAAGTTTATCTATAAAATGTAGCATAATTTGAGGATTTATTTAAATTATTTTAAAAAATATACCGCTACTCAAGGTCAAACAAGAACAAAGTTGCAAAATTTGATGATGCCAAAGAAAAATTTGGTCTATCTATTTTCCGTTGTGAAGTTGTCAATGAAACCCATAAAACTTTGATTCGGTTTTTATTTTTTTTATCAAAAAACAAAAAATGAACTTTTTAAACTCAAAATTCAAATAAACCAGAACGTACCAGGACGTAAAATCTACAAACAACTTTTGTTCTTTTTTGTGGACGCCATATTGGAATTTTAATAAAATACCTATTCAAATAAAATTTTAGTTAAAGAAAATACAACTGACTTTTGCACGCAAAGAACGGGGTATGCTTCAATTTTATTGATTTTAATTTAAAGAATATACGGCTTAACTTCATATGAAGTCAGTAATCATAGTACTTTAATCGTTATCGTGGGTGTTTAGCCGAACTGTCACAATTTTGTTTGGAGCAATACTTGGATATTTTGTTTCAAAGGCACGCTAATCGCGATCAAATTATGCAACATTGCAAATAATCCTCATGGTACTGGTCCCAACTGGATTTTTTTCCAAATACCGAATCGTTCTTCTTACAAACTCGAGATTCTTAAAGTTGCTCAGAAATTTCACAAACTGTACATTGATCAAAAATAGTTTTTAAACATTCATATTAAAATATACAGGGTGTTCCAAGAGTACCGAAATGGCAGGATATCTGGGAATATTCAAGGGGTAGAGTAAAGGTAGAAGACTAGGGGTTTACAATCTTACCATGGTTATCCGTTGGTGACCTTGAATTTGACCTGTATCATGATCTTCAAAGTCATATCAAAGTCACGAGAATGGGACCCCATAATTTTGACCCCGGAAATTAAGAGAGCGGAAAGTTTTACGTTCGGATATGAACTTGAAATGACCACGAAGGTCAAGATCAAGGTCAAATATCAAAAAAGTCCCAAAATGGCTCAACAGTACCGGAATGGCAGTATAACCGCCAGGAAAAATGTTATCGACAATAGTTTTAGGATTCTTGATGAGCACTAAACTGTTGACCTTGGATTTCACCCCGCCCTGACCTGAGATTCCTTATTCTCCGGTCATTTCAAGATCAAGTTGGTTAATCCGTTACCAACGAGGACTACTATTGACCACCCAAGACCGTCTATTACCCTCGATGGCCACTATTGACTTTTAATAACCGCTTTTTACGTTTGGTGACTACTAATGACCAACAGTGACCTACTGTTGCCTTTAGTGACCTCTAATAACTGACCGTGTCCGTATGTTGTCATCGGCGATCACTATTGACCTTCCATTTTCTTTGATATTTGACCTTGATCTTGACCTTCATGGTCATTTCAAGGTCATATCCGAGTGTAAAATTTTCCGCTTTTTCCATTTCCTTGGTCAAAATTATGGGGTCCTTGAAAAAAAAAAAACGTGACCTTGATACGACCTTGAAGGTCATGGTCCAGTCAAATTCAAGGTCACCATCGGATAGCCAGGGCAAAATTCTACACCCTTGAATATTCCCAAATATCCTGCCATTCCGGTATTTTTGGACCACCCTGTAGAAATAAAAGATGTAGCTATTAACAGGATAGTTATTAACTTTATTAAAAACCCAATAATTATTTCTAAAATGCCATTGGTATACAGAGTAATTCACAAATTATTCAAAAAAAAAAAAACTGGAGATATGTGTACTTTTAAAACCAAAAAGTTACCATAAAGTTCAATAGTGTTTTATTAAAATATATGACGGGAAGTATGTATGAAAATGTCTGACGTATAATGAAGTGTTTTTGCGCGCCTCTGATAACTTTTTCTGATTTGATTTTACAAATTTATTCATTATTACTGTGGTTTTCGTAGTGCTCTTATTATTGCGAATTATTGTTTACATCTGCCTTAAAAGTGTTTAAAATGACCTATGTATACTAATCGATATTGCTTTATTTTCTGATGTATTATTTAAAGATAAAACTATGTTTACGCGAAACAGAATAAATGAAAATCCTCATGCGATATTTTATTGAAGTAGAAACTACTGATGATTTTGGTGAACGAATTACAGTTAATTAATTTATGACTACAAAACCAGCGAGAAGAAGGAATATTTGTCTTTTAGTTTGTCAAAATAAGATTAGACGTACACAAAATAAATGTTTACGAATCGGTTGACAAAGTTCCGAACATGACGTAAGTACTAATGTTTACTTGATTAAATTACTGTTTAACACTTACTGATTACATTTAATAATACGAATTAATAACAATAATAAAAGCAATAATAAAAATCGCTAAAACAAGACACCCCTTTGATAAAACTTAAATTATTTTAGCTTTTTGTGCGTTAACTTTTTTACATCTCATTTGATCAACAAAAATTTTTAAATAATTTTCGGGGTGTCATTTTTAATTGTTATTTTTCACTATGGCGTTCGTGTGGATCTACATCCAAATATTTTCTTATTTGAGTAAGTTGTGAATCACACTGTACGAATATTAGTAATTATCGTAGGAAACCAATCAGCAGACGACCAAATATTCCATTATAATATTAAGACATAGATCCTGAAAACAAATGTTGACGCTATATCCACACGGTTTATTACATTGCTACATGATGCACTCATAAGCTCCTTACTGTCGACTGAAAGCTTTTAGAGCTGGTGAAATGTGCCAGTCTGTTAGCAAAGCTGCACTACTTAGCTCGGCAATAATACGTTATTAATATTTGGAGAGACAACATGTGGTAAACATTGATAAGCGAAGTTGATCAGTTTGATATAGGAAAATAGTGTTGGTAATCAATAATTAGAATGATAAATTATTGTGTAATACAGGTATATCGTGATCATATTCTTTCTCATGGGGGGTGATACAATAAGAGTATGGAGATCTATGATTTGCTATAAAATACACTGTAAAAAAATGTACTCAAATTTCACTCAATTTTACTCAATAATGTATCTATTTCTGTCCACAATCGATTGAAATTTTCACTCTGAGTACAACTGAGTGAAACTATTGCATCAGAAATGAGTGGGTTTTACTCAAATCTGAGTGACTGCTAACTATCAATTGAGAGACTTTTGACTCTATTCTGAGTTTATAATCCAATTTAGAGTTGACTTTTTCTCTAATATGATTTAAATTTAACTATTATTAAGTCATTTTTTACACAGATTTGGTTTTTAATTAACTAAATACTGAGTGCAAAAATAAATCACTCATAAATAATTAATTAGGATATATACAGTGATGAAATTAATTCACTTCGCGGGGCCTCTTTCTGTCCTGGCTGAGACCCGTGAGCTGAGATCCGCTACCGCCGGGCTTGTTCTCCTGGCGATCACGCTTTTCTGTAGCATCTAGCGGGCCCCTATCAACTGTGGTCGAGATTACAGAAGCAATATGTAAGTGGTACCATCTTCATGGCGCCATTTAAATTACTAGAAGTTAAATACATTTAATCTCATTCACTAATGAGGACATTTACTCTGAATTAGGTACAACTGCACCAAATACGACTTTAGGTGAAGAATTTATTTAATATTTGAGTGAAAGTACTTAGTTTAAATATAATCACAAATGAGTAAAATGCCCAATATTGAGTGAAAATGTACTCAATAATTTCACTCAGTGGATTCACTCCGAAACTTTATTGCTTTCACTCACACCGATTTTTTTCGTGTTTCGTACAATATTTGTTGAGATAGAATTCGAAGAAAAGAATAAGCCAATAAAGTTCTGTTATCGGAACTATTGTAAGAATTTACAGCAGGGACGTGAAATTTTCCATCAATGTATTTATACCGCGGGTGTTGAATGCAGTTAATTCCAAGAAAGTAACGCAGAGGTCTTCTTGGAATTTTATCTCAATAAATATCGTACCAACTGTTCACTTTTGCTAATTTTGAAATTGCTTTAATATTTATCTTAGTGGTTTCAAAATTTTCACAGCCTGTGGTGATATTTAATTACCATGATTTCTCGGATTGTTTTGCGTGGCCGGTGTACTTGGTTATCGCCAGTTATAGAATTACATTGCCCTTCTTTAGCCCTAGTTACAGTTCTTTGATCTACACTTGTCAATGACATGCATTACAATTCCTTTCGGTTCTTGTAAGGCCGCTATAGATAGAATCGCTCCTCAGATTGTGAAACGTTTGGAATCATGAGATGCAATCAGTTACGGAAGTCACAACTGAACATCACGGAAGACCACCACTGCCTGAGAAGCGGTTTCATCCAGCCTTAGAGGCAGCTACAAGAACCCAAATTGACATCAAGGAGTTGTGATAGCAGGTCCGCCTCTACAGAGTCTGGCCCGTGAATAACAAGGTCAGGTAAAAGTTTTCAAGCTCAGATTAAGGAAGTGCAATGTAAGTCTATAAATGGCAGCATAATAACCCGAAAGAATATGGTACTTTTAACAATTACCATGTTCTAGTGCAGATAGTAATTTCTTTGAGAACTACAAAATATTTCTTTCTTGTACAATAAAACCTTGACACAAAGTTCTAAAATTTCATTCTGTAAGACCGGAAACATTTTGCTTATCTATTACGCATATCTGCTCATCTCATGGTGTACATGATAATTAATGATTCAAAGGTTGAATCTGTAAGCATGTACTTCAATGATTCACCAGGAAATAAGTTAAAATACATTTTCATAATCTTATGAAGGCAATCTACGACGGCATATTTCAATAAGTGAAAGTTGTGCCAAGGAATTGGCGGTCTATTGATACGTGCCACACATGTTCAAATGGG